AATTCAAAGTGGCCAGGTGTCCTTCTGCATAGGGTTAATGACCCCCCTATCCCAGACTTAAGACCAATACCCCAGTTTTTCTCAGACATGCCAATAAAAGGAAAGGAGTGTGGGCCATGTAAATAACTGCCTGATCTGTCCAGCTTTGCATTTAATTTGGTGGCTCTGTGTCCTTGTTCTTGTGCTCACTTTCCACGAACAGAAAGCAAAAATGTTCATGGAAAATTAATTTCAAAGGCATGTGCATAAGTGTTCCTGGAAATCTAATTTTACGTTTTCAGTAAAAGCATCTGGTACTATACAAGGGTTGAGCGGGAAAAAACAGTAAGACACAGCTGACCACTGCACAACTACCTTCACTCAGTCCAGAAAACAGAAAGTGTGAATATATCCCAGGAATTGTAAGAGTAATATTGTTAAGCAAGCAGGAAAAAGGACCTAAAAGCAAATTATTTGCTACCTTTTTTTTTTCCCCCCCCTTTCCTGTGGCATGGGTTTAAAGCTCAATTTTTGCAATATTGCTTGCAGGAGGAGATCTGTTTGGAAATCTTGCAGGTGGCTGGGGATAATGGGTGTGAGAGGCCCTAAATACCTATTGAGTGTGTAGATAAACTCACCAAATGATAATGATGCTACCTTACCAGGCAAAGGGAAAGAAATGATCAGCGAGGATAGGCAAAAAAGCACTTAGCCAGAATTTCCGAAGTCCCTTCCAGCTCTTGACTAAGACATTGTTGTCACAGAATAAACCAAGGACTGGTAAAGAAGCAGTTTACAGGGTAGCAGAAAGGGACTTAAGAGGAGACATAAAAAAGCACCCCAGCATGGTACAGGAAAAGCTCTATCAAAAATAATGAATCTAAATTCACTGCCTCGGTGGATGAAAAAACAAAGGACGAGATTGTCTGGCTCTGGAGGTCTGAGCCTTGATGTGCTGTTAATGCATATCATAAAACAGTGTCGCTGCATTAGCTTTGATTTAGCAGTGCCAGTTTACATCAGCCGAGGAAGCGATCCAGAAATTCAACTCAGCACCTCTGTAAATACAGGGAAGAGGGAAAAGCTGGGTCATGTCTGGAGGACCGCTGGGTTGGCCTGGGTGCTCCTGGGTGCCCTCCCTGCTGCCACTGCTTTGTTACCCACCTGCGAGGTGAAAAAGGGACAGCATGGGGTCTGCGTGGCTCAGCCGCTGACCATGCAGACCCATCCATCCACTCGTGGTGGTCCTGCTGGATTTCATGCCCCGCTCCAGCCCCAGTCCTATGGCTGGCTGCACAGGGAACGAGCTTCGGAAACTCTCCAAAACTCAAGTGTCAGTAGAAGAGATTTTAGGATTACACAATGAATAATATTAGCAGATTGCTGGGACCAGACAGTTTCACTCAAGAGCTCTGAGGGAACTCAGGCTTGAAACTGCTGACCTATTCAGTACAATGCCACAGCAGTTGTTGAAATGGTGAGGTACCACAGGAATGGAAGGTGCAAATGTTACATTCATTTTTAAAATGGGCTTTTAGAGGTCATCCAGAGACCTGTGGGCTAGAAAGCCAGGCAAGGCGAATTGACAGAAAGTATAGCGAAGAGCCAGATAGATAGATATGTATGTGACAGAACGGGAAAGATGAAAGTTTGCAGGGTGAGAGCTCATGCATCACAAACCCATTCGTAATGTGTGACCTGGGCAAGCCGGCATACTCATGAAAGATCCAACTGCAACCAAGCTCAGTGTGATCTCTGAGAACTGAAGGATGGGCTGATGGAATGACACATGAAACTTGCCAGCAGCAAATACAAAGCAAGGAGCACAAGGAACAACAGCCCTAGCCATACAAAGACCGTCAGGGTCTCTAAATCAGCCTCAGTCAGGAAGGAAGCCTCAGAGCCACTGAGTTTGCTGACAGCTCCAGCTCACTGCTCAACAGTCGTCAACGAGGCAAAAAAAGAGCTTTAAGAATTACTAGAGAATGAAGAGAGAATGAAGTGACCACTTGTGGGTCACCCCTGCCTCACACACAGGGTGCAGCTCTGCATACACCGAGGAGGATGTGGAGGAGTCAGTGAAGATGCAGAAGGGATGGCATGGAAAGGTGCAGTGGTTCCCGTGGGCGGGCAGGCCAGCTACAACAATGTTCTTCTGCTTGGTCACCTCTACAGAGAAGGGATGTGGGAGAGGTCCTGTCCACTCTAGAGAAGTGCGGAGGTGTGAAGAGGAGGCATTACCGGTCGTGTCTCCTATCACAAGGGATAGAGAGCTCAAGCCAGTCTATTGGGTTGATCATCTAATATAAAGAAAAGAAAGTAAATCTTTCACACGATGCAAAATTGAATTATGGCACTCGTCATCACAGGATGCTGTGAAGGCCAGAATTATAAAATAATTCCAAAAGGGGTTAGCCAAATTCTTGGAGGCTTAGCCCATCTGCAGCTGTTAAACACAATGACCCAGATGCCAGTCAAAAATTCCCTTAACCACAGTCTGCTGGACTGGTATTACCACAGAAGGATCATGCCCTTACACCCTTTCCCTCAGCTTCTGCTTCTGAAATGAGCCACCTGGTCAGCTGGACCTTCATTTGAGCCACTATCCCTGTGTAAGACATTGCATACGATATAAGATATATACTAAGAAACTATAATGTATTTCAGGTGATGATCAAGTTTGTTCACCTCGCATGAATGCCGTTTGGAAGGCTCCAATATCTGATGCTTTGGGAGAAAGACATTTCTGGCCTAAAAATCTGTCTTGGCATCCTGTACCAAAGACCAGCGCTTTTCTGATCTGCCACAGATGCTCTGCTAAATCCATAAACCATGGCAGTGGATTACCTTTATCATCAATTTAACTGTCACTGCTAAAAGTAGTTAGCAGTCATGAAATAAGCCAGCAGACATATTTGAAGCAATGTTCTCCCAAGGCACATATTTCCTTTTATTAGTTCTTAAATTAATTCTCCTTCATTGCATGAAGCGTGCCTTCGTCTCACTTTTCAGGATGAGTAAAACGGAAGTACGGATCATTTTCTATCTCATGGACCATAATTTGGTGTGCTCAACTGCTCTCCCTTCGGCCGCTTCTCCTTCCCAGCTGACACAGGGCAAGATTATACCATGATGCCTTTCAGGAGGAGGAAGTCCTTCCCTCGCTGAGGAGAGACTGCTGTTCTGGACACAGCGAGGGAGAAGGTGGTAGGTTTGGAGGCGAGTTCTGTGTCTCCGGCCAGAGGAAAGGTTTGGGTGAGAATCCCTCGCTACCATGGCTGCACCCCACTGGCACCAGAGCGCTTGACTTGCTGTCTCCACTCGCCTTGCTCCATGCAAAAACAGCCTGTGTTTTTCATTGCTACCAGTCTAGCATCTCCTGCCAGCTCTAAGCACTTCCTTTAGGAAAAAACAAACAAACAAACAAAAAAACAACCCCACACGAGGTCTGATCATCCACTTCTGGGGCTACGCTAAACTTGCCAGCATCTGCTCCATCTGAAAGAAGGGGAAAAACACCAATCCCAGACTGGGAAAGGAAGGAAAAGGAACTAGGTACCAAGTTGTAATGTCAGAAATGGAGCCAAGAAAAACAGCATCTTGGGAGAGCTGAAAGACAAAAACAAGCGTGGTAAACAAGAGCAGAGACAGTTTTCAGAGGAAAGGCAGAGAGACAGTGACTAAACCACCAAGAGTGAAACAGTGACACACGGAAACAGAGTCCAGAGTCCCAGGGTTCCTTTGTTCTTGTTTTTCCTACCATTTCACAGAAACCATGATGCTGTCAAGATCCCTCTATACCCAAGGGTCAGTGATGTCAGTGAAAGTTGGTGGAGCTGCACTGATTTATGCCCGTTAAGAAGTAACTTTCTGAGATTTTCCAGAATTACTGGTGTTTAAAATAATGCCTTGAGAACCCGGTTGAAAACAGTTGGGATTATTCTTAAACCAGGTCATACTAAAAGCTAGATTAAAAATAATTTAAAATACCTCCACTATTTTTGTAATAGTTGCAAAATTCCTAACTTTGGGTGGGCACATCGAAAACAACCCTAGAAAAACATGTGCATGACACTTTCCTACCAGTTCCAGAGTCATGGCAAATGCACAGAGCTCTACAGATTCTAGCTCAGCGAACAACTCCTTTCGAAAGCAAAATAAGTAAGTATTATCTCTGTTTCCCCCAAGCATTTGTTTAGCTTTTTTGATTTACCTTCCCACCACGTTCCCCTTCCTTCAGAATGTGATAGGTGGACTTGAAAATAAGAACTCCAGGAAGAGGATCTAAATTTTCTCCAAAACACCCACCATTGTTCATTGGGAAGAAAAAATATCCTTTCTTTTGCCAAGCGTTTGCCAGGTTAAAATAGGGATTGCAAATATTTAGGGGTCCCTTTGCAGATGAAACCCGCTCCTCACCCTCATTCTAACTGCAGGTGCAAACCACAGAGCCTCCCGTCGCCCGTGTGCCGTGCAGACGACTGCCCAGGGCCCTGCACATTCCCCCAAGTCCCAAAGGGAACACAGCACCAGCAAAGTAAAACTGGGGAAGAGAACGAGGACGGGCCTGTACCTTTCTGGCATTTCTTCTCATTCTCGAATTCTATTTGACAGGAGAAAAGCCACCACGTCTGGAATCTCTCCCTCTCTCTTCCCCTTTGCACTTTTCCCACTACTGCCTTAATCCAGCTGGCCCCTCGTTCGGATCGAGGTGACACAGATGGAGCGCTCGCCTCGTAGCGGCTGAACCCCGCTCGACCATTTTCACTCCATAGACCTCTCTTACTGTCTCATTTTATAACCCGATTACTAAAGACTGGGGTTAGATTCAGACGGATTGCCTACCGGCAAAAGGCTCAATATCCCATTACCAGATTTGCGAGCCCGCCGTCCCTCTTCATTTAGCGCGTAATAGAAAGTGTCAGTAACGGACTTGGGCTTTAAAATGAGCTTTAACTATGCAGGTCATATGCGTGCGGCAGGAGAAAACGCTCCAGAGAAATCACAAGCAGGACAACAACTTTTAAAACATTTTTTATTTAAATATTAAATAAAACACATCAACTAATCATTTCGGTGTACACCTCTCGTTTTAACATAAGAAATAAAATGATTGTTCAGTCATGATAAAAAATAAACTATACATCTCAATTAAACCAATCACATAGTGTCCTTAAATACCCTATTGCATTGCAGTCTGCAGAACAGCACTGTCGAGATATCTACAAAAAAAACCCAAACATATTAAAATGACCTCTTTCTGCTCCAGCAATAATTCCAAAGAGGTTCTACAGCAATCGGAAAACAAACAAACAAACAAACAAACAGAAAATACTATGAAAGTAAAGTGCTCGTCATTGCTCAGGACAGGAAACAGAAGAATCTGTGGCCTTTTGATCCATGGCGTTAAACCAAACGAATATTGAAGAGAAAACTGTGTTTTAAGTACGTGTGCCACCCCTTACAAAACTGAAGGCAAAGTTGCTGCTTTGTGATGAGCTGGCTGCTTCTTGCCCTCCTCTCCAGGCAACCCGTCTTTGGGTTGTTTGGGGTTTTTTTTTGTTTAAGTTTCTTTTTTTATTTTTTTTTTAAACCACTTAAAGTGAGCATGAGACTTTGGTGTTTTCTCTGCTGCAAGGCACCACTCGTTAACAGAAATTCAACCCAAGCAATTTTCTCTCACTTGGAAGCTCCCAGACCATGTAGCAGCAGTGGCAAGCTGGAGACACACCGACACAGACACACAGGACAACACACGGATAAAGAGGTCGTTCACGGAGGGCCACAGGCAGAGCCACGTGACATCTTTGACCCTACTCCCACCAATTAACCTGCTCGATCTTTGGCTTTTTTCTTATTTAAAAAAAACCCAAACAAACGAAAAAAAAGGGGTATCTATATTATTTGCAAATGCGTAATACTGCAGGTTGCACGAAGCCAAGGTAACGTGAAGGCACCCTGTGTCACACGAGGGAGATGGGCCCCTTGAAGCGCTTCGACAGAATGCAGCTACTTCCTGACGTTCGGATGGCAGCTTCCAGCCAAGCCGGCTCGCTGTCTGCTCACCTGCTCCCAAAGTCTGCGCGCCCTACCCTACTCACGGCCGTCCGTAGGAGCGCGGTCTGTCCTCCCCTTCGCTCCCCAGCACAACTGCTGCTGATACCAGCAGGAGTCGTGCTCCGCCTTGGGAGGGGAGCGGGGTTTATACCAGAAACACAATATAAGCCTATTACAAAAAACAAAAAACAACTAGTGTTACATAGTTTTCTGCTTCCTATCTATATACATATACAGTATTAAAAACCATACGAAAAAACACCTATCTAATCCAAAACCTCATTTTGCTAATATGCCAAAAAACCAAACCAACCGAAAACAAACACCCAAAGATTGTGCTGTTTTACTCGCTTTTAATACAGTTTTGTTCAGAAATAGCTGTACTCCGTTAGAGTAGAATTCTGCCCTAGCCTATTCCTTTTGTCTTCTGTCAGTATATAATTATAACCTCAATATTGCACATTTCCCCAAGAGTCAGTTCTGTTTGGACCCTGATAATGAAATGCATATAAATGTAATTAGCAGCGGAAATAACAATGTGCAGACCTAAGAAACACCCCTCAGGCAACTTCGCAGGCAACCTCCCAGAGGGCTTTTTAAAAAAAAAAAGCAGAAAACCCTTCCCATCACCCCACCTGGACCAACGCTTCCCTCCTCAGTGCCTCTGCAAGAACGTGAAAAAACTCAGCGTTTTTAAAAGAAACCCAACGGATTCCTAAAGGTCATTCAGACCGACCAAATCGGTGACCCGCCTGCCCCCAAACAAGCATCCCTGTAGAAGACCAGGCATCGTGCAATTAGAGCCCGGTATCAAGGGATACGTTTTCTATAGGTGACTTGCTTCTGTGCTCATTAGAAGGGGGCAGGGGTGTGTGTGTGTGTGTTAAGCTTTTCCAGCTGATGTATCAAGCCGGAATTTCACAGTTTTCATTTAAAATATACGTATCTAGGAGGTGCAGAATGGGGATGTTGGTTCCTTTAAATAAAACGGGTGTTAACAGGAGGGGGGAGAAAAAAAAACCCACCCCAACAAACCAACAAATGGCAATGCTTCCATTTTTGTCTTCTATGAATACATAATGCTGCATGCCACTGGTTTTGTTTATTTTCTTTAAAAGAGGTAATCATCTTCACAAACCCATAAATGAATATTGTGAAAAAGGGAGGCTCTGGTCCCTTCTTTGAAAGGCCTCTCCCTGCTGTGTCACCATGACTGACGGCTGCTAACCTTGCATAACAGCGGAGCTGTATTGGTCTGACTTGAGTACAGTACCGAAGAGTTCTTCCCCAACCACATCCCTCCCTGCCCCCTCAAATGCCCCACCCATCTTCCCCATCATTATTTTTCCTTTAAAAAAATTCAGTTTCTATTCGTATTTGTTCAGTGCAAGAATAGTAGAAGCAAAAAAGACATACATATTGCTTGTTTCAGTTCTACAAAGTCGCTAGGTTTCCGAGCCAGGCAGCCTCTTCACATACTTCGAAATTTATTGCTTCTGGGAGTCACTCGTCCACGCGACACCAGCCGGCCACGGACCCACACACGCCACGGAACAGCGGTGAAAGTTCTTCACGACGAGAGCAGCGCAAGCCACGGCAGCCGGCGCTCTTATTTCACCAGGACGAACTTCCCTAGCTGGTTGGAAGTCAGGTCCTCCATCTCACAGTCCCCGTGCTGCAGAGCGACGGCGTCATAGCTTGGAGACTGCGCAGAGAAACCCAGCGGCTGCGGGAAGGTGGTGCCCGCCGGAGAGACGCTGCCGCTGATGTACAGGTGCGTGGCTAGAAGTTGAGCCGCCGAAGACACCGGTGACACGCTGATGCCAAAGAAATGAGGTTGGAGCAGTTGGCTGTTGCCAGCAAAGGCCAGCTCAAAGGAGTTCTCTCGTTGCAGCTCTGACAGCAGAAGAGAATTGGATGCTTTGCAGGTACCTACGCTATCAGAGGGGGGAGCGCCATGTGTTGCAGACGTCTGAGAAGTCTGGGGACAAGCTGTCTGGAGTAGCTGGTGATGCTGGAGCTGGAGCATTCTGAAGAAAACCCAAAGATGGAAGAGGTTAGCCCACGTTCCTCCTTCCTGGCCCCCACCCCTGACCATAATTTCCCCTTTGCTTCCTTCTCCCTCTCAAACCTCTCCTTACCCTGCCAGTAAAATTAAAGCAAGTTATTCATGCCAGGTCAACGTGCTTTCACTCGGCTTTTGCTCACGTTGGAGAGGGTGATTATCACCAGAAAGTTCTGTAGTCACCATTTGCCCTGCTAATAATAGATGTGCTAGAGACAACGTGCGCAGATAAACCGGAAACTCAATTTTCCAATCTTGCTTCTACGGGAATGAAGAGGTGCCACCACACACGACATTTGAGGCCACTGGAACCATGCCTCCTTTGTGGGCTGTAACTTTTCCAAATTACAAGGTCCTGCTTCCTTGCCATGGGAAAATTACAGGAGGAGACAGAGGAGGAAAGAAATCATTCCCAAAACTAACAAACTAAAACACAGCTTGCAGTGGGGAGAAGCAATGCTTCCCTCCACACTACCAAACTGCTTCTCAGTTCAGCAACCACCAAATACTTGGACACTGAGATTCTTAAGGGGAAACTGCACGCCCTGTGTGACGTACGCCAGCGAAGGAAGCCCAGCCGTTCACCTGCTGCCACATAGCACAGGCAGAGGACAGGAATCCCCCGTGACTAAAGTCCCCAACATCTTTTGCTGTGTTTACTCCTCCTGGCTTGCCCCTAATGAAAGCAACCTTGGTGAAAACAGCAGAGCTCCCCCCAAGCCAGCTTCTCACCTCTGCTGCTGGAGCACCTCCTCCAGCAGGCTTCTGCCTTCCCTGCTGCTCCCACCGCTGCTGTACACGCAGGTGTTGGGCTGCGTGTGCTGGAAAGGGCTCATGGCACTCCTTGCTGCCCGAGATGAGGAGGACTGACACACCTGCCGAGCAAAGCCTTTGATTTTATTCAAGCCGAGAAACCCCTTGGCTCGAGCGTTCTTCCGCAGCTGCTGCCTAAAAGCCTTCAAGCCTGTGGGACACGAGGAAAAGAAACGCACTTTAATCCTGCTTAGCGTTTGCCGAGGAGCCTACTTCACAGATCAGCCCTTCTGGGCAGCCGCCTTCATCTGCGCGAGAGCCACACCAGAAGGGGCCATGACTCTTCGGTTCTGGCCGGTGACGGCCAGAGCAAAATCCACATAACGCAGCGGGGCTTGGCACAGCGGCACCCCCATGTACGTGGACACATGCGCAGCAAAGGAGAAACCTGGCAAAAATCGCGGTGCTGTGCACTCTGGATTTTAGGGGGAAGGCGGGGCCTGCCATCCCACTCACAGCAGAATTATCTTCCTGGGCAGGCTGAATCAGGATCTGAGAACCTCTCAGCCAGGCATCTTCCTCAGGGCACCCTCCCCTCCCTCCCTCCCTCAGGGGCTGTGAATATGAGGCAGAATATCCAGGTGGCTGCTCTCGGTGTAACACTGACATGGGCAAGCAAGCACCCGGGCACGCTACCCTTCACTAGCGGCAGTCGGAAGGGCGCAATTCCCCAGCCATACGGCACAGAAGGCATTACCTTGAGTTAATGAGGTATCAGATGCTCGCCTTCCTTCTTGGAAGCTGACAGGCAGGAGAGAAGCACCTCCCATGCAGCCCTGGGCTTGTAACACTGGAGCGTCAGACTGGGAAGCTAGGAAGGGTGATGTCATCCTAGCTGTGGCTGGGCTCCCCGTCATTACCTGACCTGCCAAACAGCTGCTCAGGGCCACTGAGCTGTCATTTGAAGATGAAGTAAGGCAGCTGTCTGAACTAGTTCCCTCCGTGGGGCTTGCAGAAGAGGAAATGACTATACCTACGGAAGGGAAGGAAGGAGAGAAAGAGCATTCCCAGGATGAGTACGGGAAGGAACAAACATGACATCAGAGCCTTCTGCCCACCTACACTGGCACTAATAAGCAGCTGTGAGCTGGAGAGGTGTCCAGCAACTCCTGTTGTTGCAGGGCTTGACTCCAGCAAGGGATCATCAACAAATAACCCGAGTTTGGGCTCCCGCCCAGCCGGCTGAGCTCTGCCCGCATCTCCAACATCACCAGGCTGTGCTGCATCAGGCCTACAGCGCTTCCTTAGCACAACAGCTCTGACACTGGTTTGTGAACAGTTTGGCTTGTTTGTTTAGTTCACGGGGCCCAGATGCGTACCAAATATGGTTAGTGATGACTTTGTTTTGAAATTCAGGTGCCCCCACCTCCCCCGGTACAGCAGCAGAAGCAGGCAGAAAAGGGTTATGTCCTGCCCATGAGAACGCTCCACTCTACAGTGACGCAGATGAAATGCAACGGCACAACATCTTTTTCTTATTCATGGCAAGACAGAACCAGGGAGGGCTGAGTATGGACCTCTTTTCTGGGCTTTCCTATGCTAGTCAAAGTAAAATCAGCACATAGTCCTCAGATATTTGTCCACTATGGCACTCCTCTGTACTTTTCCTCTAACTACGGACATCCTTCACTTCTCCCAGACTTACTTACATGGAGGGGCATGCTGATAGAAATGAGTGGTCACTTCAGCCAGCGTGTGCCTCCGGCTGGTGTTGCTAGGGATGCGGATGGGGTGGTCATACGCCTTAATTTCATCTTCCAGCTCCTTCTCTTGCCTTACTTCTTCACTAATGGTGGTCTCCAGCAGGCTGTTGGGGGAGATGGAGCGGTTCCGGAAGAGCCCGTTGAAGTTGGGATCCACAGGAAAGAACATAGGCTGCAAAACATGTCAGATGACAGGCTGAAGGGTGTTTCAGCTCTTTGTGCACCACCTTTTAATACTTTGCACAGCCTTGCGGCATGTCTTCAGTAGGCGTACTGCTTTAGAGCCTACTAGGACACTTTGCCCAGATGCCAAACAAAAGACTGGAGGGAGAGAACAGTCAGAACCCCCGCTGTTTTGGATTGGCAGAATAATGGAAAAAAGAAAAGTAACACACAGTTTAGCTGAGAACACCAACCTGTAATGGGTTGCTCATGTCACAGTCCATTTCTGCCTGCAAGGATGGCTGAATCAGGCTCTGAGGTTGCTGGTAAAGCAGAGATGATCGCAGGGTTTCACTTGTGAGACTGTCCTGAGGCATCTGGAGGGAGAGAGCGATGCACAGAAGCCATCACATACACCGGAGTTCCACAAGACTTGTCAGATACTGGAGGCTCAAGGAATTTCAGAGCCACCTTCCGTGCAAGCTTTCTCCACGTACTTTCTATGAAAATCAACAAAAGCTAGTCTTTCAGTGCCAACACAAACACAACTCTTTTGCCTAAGTTAGGCAATTTAACTGGAAGTACAGTCTGAAAAGGCACCCAGAGCACACTTTAAAGGGGGTGGAGGCGAGGAAAAGAATGTCAGAAAAACACACACGTCGACTCATGGAGTACTTCTCAGGACCCTACTGGGTATGTTACACAGAAGTCTAACCGGTCCATGCCTAAGAGGGCAAGTTTCCATGAGAAAACTCATCTTCTGGCTCATTATTGACCTGCACTGGAGGCAGACTACTCTTTGGACCATGACCCACAGTCAACTCTTAGGCAACTGGTCATTAGTTTTCAATTAGCCTCTCGCTGAAGAACAGCGGGCTGCATCCTGGCGGATGGCACCAATAGCAGAACTGGTTTACAGAAGCTTGAGAGTTACCGTCTTAGAGTTTCTCCCATAGCAAGGGGCAGAAAAAGAGGGAGCCAACGGACACACCTTCCCAGCAAGTAATGCCCCTCCTTACCTCAACATTGCTGATCTCGGAGCTCCTCGGCCTCTGCTGACGGCCAGTTGCTGGACGACTCGACAGCTGGCTGCTTCGATACTCCTTGAGGCGCTCCAAGAGCAGGTAATAAATTGCAGCAAAATGGTTGTAGCTGCTGTTTTGCAGAGACTAGAAGACATTGAAAGGACCCTTGAGTTACAGGTAATTTGGGATATAAGCAGCCAAAACTCAACACTAAGGCCTCATAATAGTGTACCCAAAAAAATAAGTAAAACTCATAGGATCACAGAATCACAGAATGGTTTGGGGTGGAAGGGACCTCAAAGATCATCTAGTTCCAACTCCCCTGCCATGGGCAGGGACACCTTCCACTAGGCCAGGTTGCTCAAAGCCACATCCAGCCTGGCCTTGAAATCCAGAAGGGCAGTGAAGATTTTACTACACTGTGACACTGGATCAAGGCTAATCACCGCATGATGTATATATGACTGCACCACTGGCATTCTGGTAGTCACTGGAGAGGTATCTAAGGGGCACGCACTTCTCACCTCAACGGTTCTCTGCCTGTCGATGCCAAGAGTCTGCATGATTCCAAGGACCTGCTCATTGTAGTCACCCAGGTTGGAGTTGTAGTTTTGCATGGAGAAGGACAAAGACTGCTGCTGCTGAAGGGACGGGTCAGCTTGCATCCACTTGTGCTGCTTTATCTGGGAAATGGTTATTCGCTTGGTTGGGTCCACAACCAACATCCGTCGGATTAGTGTTTCACAGTCTGGACGAAAGAGACAAACTCATGAGCAAGGGGTAAAAACAACAGCCCAGCCCCAGGTCACTGTTAAGAAACATTCCCAGCAAGAGTGTATGATGTCTATGAACACGGGAACTAAAGGTTTCTGAGCTGCTGACGCCTTGTCTGACTACCAGATATTCCAATCAGTGCAAGAGATGTCCACGTACATGTCACAGAAGCAACACGTCACTACAGGAAACGAAGCTGTACTGGATACCGGAAAGTTTCAGGAGGCCTTGCACCTTGTGGGAGAGCTACTTCTGAGCGGTGCAGGTTTAATGATGCTACAACCACTTAGAATAGGTCAGCATTCGGTACAGAAACCTGTCACATACAACTTCCTGGTCCATATATACTGCTTATTTGTTTATAAGCAGGGAATCAAAGCCGTCTGTGCTATAACTGATAAAGGCCAGACTTCAAAGGACACTATTCCCTTGAAGAAAGAGGCACATTCACTTGTTTTCGAATCCAAATGAGAGAGAGGTGATAACACTCTTCATTTCCTTTTGCTCACCAGTGCTGGAGTGCTCAACAAACAGTGACCTCCCCCTACTATTTCTGCCCTCCTTGACAGCATAGCCCCAGTGAAATATACCCCTTCTGCACAGTTTGAATATTTTAACCGTGCCCATCTCAGGACTGCAGGCTAGTCTCATTAACAGCCTGTTTTCTCTTTTTTGTGAGTGACTATTAGGGTTAGGGTGTCAAGTATTTTTGTAATCCATACAGATACTCTAAGAAAGGCAACGACAGCCTTTTAGATGCCCCATAAAGCAGAACCCAGAAGAGAAAACGTGTGCAACCAGCCCCGCAACTACAAGCGCTGCCCTACAGAAGTTACTGGATACATAAAGACAATGTGATCATCAGCTGCAAAACCAGACCCATCTGTCATTGCCCCAGGAGGGAACAGGACAGCTATTCTTTTATTTGTAGCCCCTTTTCTAACAAGAAGGATCTGAAAAAAGCACCTTCGGACATGAAGTAAGGGATGCGGAACCGCCCCTCCAGCACTCTTTGCCTCAGAGTTGGTAAATTGGGTCCATCGAAAGGCAGAGAACCACAGACGAGGACATAGAGCACCACCCCAAGGCTCTGTCAACAGAAAAGAGCAAAGCATGTGTGTGACTCCAGTAGAAGCAATGATTTTGAAAGCCTGCAGACCCTCACAAAGTGTGAAATGCGATTTCTAAGGAATATCAAGCTCACCCATATATCAAGGTGAGGACCTTCATATTCTTTGCCTTCGAAAACTTCTGGAGCTGCATAGGGTGGGCTTCCACACCAAGTGGAGAGGGGTTCTCCTGACTTGTAAAAGTTTCCAAAGCCAAAGTCTGAAATGAAAGTAAAGAAGTCTGGGGTAAGACATCACTCAACCGCATACTAATATTTCAGAAGCAGCAGAAAACGGGGAGAAGGCAGCAGATGTATTCTCTGCCTATTCATTTAAGCTAGCCCCTTTTCTCCAGAGAAATATCAGTAACTTTTGGTTTAGGTTCAGTTACCATAAATACATTTTTAGGATCATCCTGGGAGGACTGAATTTGACTACACACCTAACATTGTTTATCAAGCTAGTGTGCCTTTCTTATTACCTGCTAACTTGATATTCATGTTGGCATCCAGCAGGAGGTTCTCCGTTTTGAGATCCCTGTGCACTATGTGGTGGCTGTGACAGTATTCCACCGCTGAAAGAATCTGCCAGAACTTCTTCCGCGCTTCGCTTTCACTCAAGTGCCCATTGGAGGTCAGATGATCTGTGAGACAAAACAAGAGAGGCACAGGGTTTAGGAACACCTGGAGGAAATTTTTCATAATCCTGCAGGTGCTGCACTCGCCGTTTGACAGGTGACAGTGCCAACCCTGCATTTTTAATCAGAATTCATATGTTTCTCAGAGTTGACAACAATAAAGCCATGGTTTTTACGTCTAAAGAAACGTTAGCTCCGGCAGTGAGGACTTACCAAACATCTCTCCATTCTTTGCGAACTCAGTAACAATGTAAAGCATATCCTTTGTCTCCATAACCTGCGAAGACACGAGAGGACATGCTTAAAAAAAAAAAAGCAGATCTCTGTAGTTTCATTCATTTTTCTAAGTATATTCTCAAACACATCAGCTCGATCATTTACGTGCCGCAGCAGCGGGCAGTAAAGGCATCTGATTTTGCACCACGGTGTTCTTTCTGAGCCAACTGGTAATGAGAAAGATAACAAATCAACGCTTATTGCATACGCTATAGAATGGCTCCCCATACCATTGTTCTTCGCACCATTACCGTGCCACCTAATCTCCGTAAGATAATTGATGAGCATTTCAATAATTTCATACACTTCCCTGAGTTCCTTCTTTGTGAAAACATGCATAGACAGTTTTACAATTCAGTTGATATATTTTGAACAGGCAAATACACTTAAAAGTTTCTATAAAGCTGTCTTTGTTTAGGGCTAGCAGGTACTCAGATCAGGAGAGAGAGCTGCTACTTGGACAAATCAGGGAGTAGCATCAAATTCCCTGCTCTCATTTGGTGCTGGCAGGGGACACAGCAAGCCTCCCTTGCAAGTGACAATAGGTTGCTTTTTGTGTAACGGCAGTGCTTGATGCACGTCAACAACTGCCCAGCGTTCACCTGTCAATCTAGCATCGACCTCCCTTGATACTCTTTTTTTTTTTCCTTTGGAGGGAAAAAATATACGAAGAACGAAAAACTAAATAATGAACGAGAAATGCTCAGCATTTTCAAATTCATCTTCAGTTACTATGGCACATCTTTCAAATGCTGCATTTCAAATATTTTAAAATACAACGTTTCCTTGGAATTGACCTCTCAGATGTTTTGTTTTGGAAGCAGAAGGCTCACAACAGGTTAGCAATCAAAAAAAACCATCAATACTACTTCAAAGGCTGTAATTTCCAGGCTCCTAACACATAACCTTTTTGGAAGACTCTTGTCCTCCCCTCACTACAAGTACACACAGACATGAAATGAAAATAAACAAACAGGGAGCAAAGGAAGAGAGGTTCCCAGTTTAAAAAACTGAAGGAAAGTGTTCTGGGAAAGTTGCCAGCTGGATGAAATTAAGACGCTGTGCTGAAACTAAAACAATGATGAAATAATACAAGAACACACACCCTACATCGGTATGTCATCTAATTCCATCCCTGCTCCTCAGTCTCCACCAAACAGGTAAAGCATCAGTTACAACAACAAAGAAAAGAAAACTTTGCTGAAAAGAAATTATGGTCCACCACTGACGTCACCTGCTTCATCAAGTGAAGTGGTTCAACTGGATGGAATTTAACCTGCTTCTCTAAAAGCTTCGAAATGGTATTTTCACCCACATCATTCCACTGAAATGAAATCAACTGAACTGTTAGAATGTCCCTGTACATCCTATACTGCCCTATGGGCAACCGTGACGTCAGATGTTAACACAGAGCAATTTTTGTTATGATGGTTAATACTATAAATATCAAACACTTCGTGTGTGTCAAGGTCTTTAATGCCTTGCCTAAGCACCTGCCTTACTGGCTCTTCAGCCTTACACGTTAATTAAGCTTCTTTTCTTTCTTCTTTTTTTTTTTTTTAAAAGCTAACAAACCCAACGGTAAGATTGCAGCTGTCAATTGTGTTTACTACAGCGCACGGACTTTCAGACCTGCTGCTTCACCCACCTATTCCCCTCTCCCCCCTGCCCTTCTAGACAGGTCCAGACAGACCGTGATACCTCTTCTTAAACTCACATGGCACTATTTAAGATGATTAAAAGGAAACTACACCAGCTGCTAATTAGATTGAATATTTACAATTTGCAGAGCAGTCCTTGCTCACTGGACAGATGTGATCCTGTTTTCTGCACAACACATCCATTTGTTCTTACTGCTAAGAACACCTATCAGCGCAGAATCCTAACAAATCTCAACCCAAATTCATGTCGTGAATTTCTACGAGGGGAAAGATATTTAAAATTCACTTTCAAAACTACACAAACTGGAACAGAACAGTAACCAAACAGGTCATTTTTTTGACATATTCTAAAATAGCAACATTTGCTGGCTTTTTATTTGCTACTTAGGTTAGACTTTTAATTCTTAGATTAGACTTCTTAGATTGATTTGGTTTAATTTCTGTTGATTTTAAATCCCTTCCACTTATGGCAAACTCAAATTTTACGCTTTCTTCTCTGCTATCCTACATGAGTTTACATCTTCCTCTTATCAAAAGCACCTAAGAAGTTCCAGTCCTCTAAACTGGAAAAGCAGAGGCATCAGGAAAGGCAAGTTAATCACAGAAGTTCAGATAATCAGTTCCTTCGATCACAAACAAACTTCACCCTGGTTTTAACTGTAAATTTTACAGTGCATTTTTACAAAAAGCTGTCTAATGCACGAGAATCTTGTTCGAGGAATGAGGAATGACTTTTAGAAAAAACAGTTTGAGTGTTTTTTGAAAAGTATTTCAATACGCATTCTCTCTGCAAACACTTGGTGTAAAATCGTGTGGAAGCGAAGAGCCCAAGCGTGCCCCATCCGCCTGCTGCGCTTCAGAGCTGACCTCTTCTTACCTGATACAGCTTGATAATGTGGGGATGATTCAAAAGCTTCATTATCTGAACTTCTCTATAAATCTTCTCCAGATTGCTTGGGTCTAACCTTGTTTTGTCTATTATTTTTATTGCAACCTGCAGATTTAAAGAAAAAAAAAATAGGAAAACAGATCAACCCCAGGGATCCCAAAAGAGGTACTCTCATCACTCTTCAGATATCTGAAACAAAAAGACACGCATCCCCCCCGCCCCGCGCACGCACACAACTCGCAAAATCCAAGCGAAGTTGCTTTTGAAGTAGGGACTTGCCAAAGCTGATTCTGGTTATTTTTTTTCTGAACTGCACAGAACTCACGACACAGCGCGTTTTCGCTTTTCTTTTCTACGTCAAAGGATTACACGGAAGGTAGCGAACAGAACTGCAGAAATTAACACTGGACGGGATTCGGCAAATCTTTTAATCCATCCCATGCCAGTGAAAACCAGATTCCCGTAACAGCCCCTTTTCTACTGCGGCGACTGGCGCGGCGTGGACACGCACCCGAAATCCAAACAGAAATCCAAACACGGCCGCGTGCCCACTCATCAATTATTCCCGCAAATAACGCCGCGCGTCCTTTGTTCTCCAAGCGCACGGGAACGGGGGAGCCAGACCCGTGCGAAGCCTTTCCAAAGACCCCCGGCTCGGTGGACTTTCTGGCCAACACCGCCGGAGTAGGGCCCCCTGGGAACTGAAACTTCTCGCGCC